CCCTTCATTGCTGTTCGGGGTCGGTACTGGATGTCGTATTGTCCCAGCTCTACTGCCCATTTGACCATTCGACCCGAAGTGTCGGGCCGGTGTAGGATTTGTCTTAGCGGGTAGGCTGTGAGGACCGTGATTGAGTATTCCAGGAAATATGGCCTGAGTTTTCGAGATGCGGTCACCAAGGCGAAGGCAAGCTTCTCCATAGGCGGGTACCTCAGCTCGGCGTCGTGAAGAGCCTTGCTCACGTAGTAGATCGGGAATTGGCCGGAATCATCCTCCCGAATCAGGGCGGCACTTACGGCCACCTCGGAAATTCCCAGGTACAGATATAGCATTTCACCTGGACGGGGCTTTTGCATTGTCGGAGCCTGGCTGAGAGTTTCCTTGATTGCCTCCAACGCCTTTTGGCAGGCCGGCGTCCACTCGAACTTGTGATTTTTCTTGATGGCGTCGAAAAAAGGTTTGCAGCGATCGGTGGACTTCGAGATAAACCGGCTCAAGGCGGCGAGTTTGCCAGTCAGGCTCTGGACTCCTTTGATTGACGTCGGCGGTCGAAGGTCTTGCACTGCTCTGATTTTCTCGGGGTTCGCGTCGATGCCGCGCTGGCTGACTATGTACCCTAAGAATTTTCCTGACCCAACACCGAAAGTACACTTTTTGGGATTTAACTTCATGGAATAATCACGCAAAATGGAAAACATTTTATTAAGATCGTTTACATGATTGGACGCGTACACAGACTTAACTAACATATCATCTACATACACTTCCATACATTCACCTATCAAGCTAGCAAACATCTTATTAACTAGGCGTTGATAGGTGGCCCCGGCATTCTTCAACCCGAACGGCATCATGGTGTAGCAGTAAAGTCCACGTGCCGAGTAGAAGGAGGTATGCTCCTCGTCGTCCGGATGCATGGGAATTTGATTGTAGCCGGAGTACGCGTCCATGAAGCTCATCAGCTCGTGGCCTGACGTGGCGTCGACCGTGTAGTCAATGTGAGGGAGGGGATAGCTGTCTTTGGGGCATGCCTTGTTTAGGTCGGAGAAATCGATGCATAACCGCCATGCCCCGCTGCTTTTTTTCACGAGTACCGGGTTGGCCACCCAGGTCGGGTACCGGACTTCGCGTATGTACTCGTTGTCCTTGAGCTTGGTCACCTCATCTTCCAGGGCTTGCTGTCGGTCGGGGCCGAGCTTCCTCCGCTTTTGCACAACCGGTTTGACTGTGGGGTCGACCTGCAATCGATGGCAGGCGACCTGCGGGTCGATGCCGACCATGTCCTCGTGGGTCCATGCAAAGACGTCCGCGTTTTTCCGGAGGAACTCGGTCAGTTCGGCCTTCATTGGCTCCGGCAGCTTGCTCCCGATCCGGAGTTGTTTCTGACAGGTCTCTTCGTCGATGAAGATGACCTCGACTTCATCCATTGGCTCGGCCCTCTTCGTCCCCCGTTTTTCTTCGTATTGTGTCCGAGGGTCGAGCTCGTCTTCCTCCGTGATCGGCCTTTTGCCGGCCCTTCTCCCCCTGTTCCTGTCGAGGTCGTCTTCGACCCCGCCCTCGACAGGATCCGTCGCCTCGGCGCCCGGGGCCGAGTTGTCCGCTCCAACGTTTGGCTCCGCGGCTGTCGGGTCGGCACCCGTCGGGGTCAGGGGATGCGAACCTGTCTGGTTTCCCAGCATGCGGTTGCCCCCAGCACCGTCGTGTGCCAACTCGGTATCCGCCACCCCGGCGTCTTCCTGTAAGTCCGCCATGTTTATCTCGGTGCGCGGGATGGTTAGGATGCATTCCCGCGCTTCCCTTTGGTCTCCTCGGTGCGTCCCTTCCCCATCGGGGGTTGGGAATTTGAGCGAGTAGTGGAAGATGGAGACAGCGGCCTTTAGCTTGTAAAGTGCCGTCCTTCCCAGGATGGCGTTGTACTCGCTCGGGCAGTCCACGATCTTGAAAGTCTCTAAGATTGTCTTCGTGGGCTGCCCCCCTTCTCCGAAGCGGATCGGCAGTGTGACCTGCCCGACTGGGGCGATGGTCTGGCCGTTGAAGCCTTGGATTCTCTCCCGGCAGGGCTGCACCTCCTTCCTGTCAATCCCCATCTTCTTGAAGGTTTCGTAATAAAGGATGCTGGCGTAGGCCCCGGTGTCGACCATGATGCGATGGATCTTAATCGCCATGATCGGCGCCGTGATCACCAGGGCGTCGGAGTGGGGATGGTCGAACAGGAAGGCATCTTCATCGTTGAAGGTGATGGTGTTTGGGGTCGGCTCCGGAGCCGGCCTGCTGTGGGCGTGCATCACCCTTTGCCCGGCATGGTAGGCCTGTCGGGCGTAGGCCTTGGTCTGTCTCCGGGAGAGGAGGGATTCTCCCCGGCTGGTGTTGACGCGCCGGGATGGGTAGTTGGCTGGGTCAGCCCCAGTGCGTGGGGACCGGTCTCTTTTTCTGCCCCTGGAGGTGCCGGCCTCATCCTGATGAGTGGGGCAGAAGGTCATGATCTCGTGGGGGCCGCCCTGCTGCGGCTTCTTTCTTCGAGGATTCACGTCAGCATCCTCGTCGCTGTCGGGGTTTTCCTCGAAACGTCCCCCTTTCTTTCTCTTGTCCCCGGAGTGCGTGAACTTCCGAAGTTGGGGGTCATCGATCAGTTTCAGAAGTGCCGAGATCAGATTTCGGCACTGATCGGTGTTATGCCCGTGCGCCTTGTGGTAGGTGCAGTAGCGGGTCTTGTCTACTGTATCTTTGTCAGTGAACATTGGCTTGGGGTCCGGCAGCAACCCCTTGGCCTTGATTTCCTCGTAGATTGCCGCGGCACCCACCGAAAAGACGCCCTGATAGCTTTCTTTCAGCTCTTCGGCCCTCTGTCTACGCTGAGCTCGGATCTCAGCAAAGGACTTGCTTGGCTTTCCCGACTTCTCCTCCTTTGTTTTCGTCTTTGCCGGTGCTGGTGCCGGCGTGGCGTCGAAGGTCGGGATGGATGATGACTCCTCCGCCATGATGTATTCCTGGGCACGGGTGAGGAACTCTTGGTAGGTGGTCGGCTTGTTCTGGCACAGGGACCACCTGAACAGCGTCTTCGGTCTGAGTCCGCCCTGGGCCGTGATGAGTAGGGCGTCGGGGTGACACCGCTCCATATTCTGGACCCGGTCATTGAACCTGGCGATGTAGTCCTTCAAGCTCTCATTCTCGCCCTGTACGATGTTGGAGATTGATTCCTTGGGGGCGAGATTGATCTGCGATCCAATGAAGTGGGACCGGAATGCCGACCCGAGCTGCGCCCAGGTCGAGATGGAGCGGGG